CAATCAAAAAGACATCCGGAATCGAAAAAATTCTTAAATGTAACAAACTTGCTCATGTGCTCTTCTTAAAATGTTTGTATTTACCGCTTTTACCATATACTTAATTACTTCGAGAAACAGTGTTTTAAAAAGGTGCGTGTTTAATAGGTTAAAAATTAGTTTTTGGTATAACTAAACCCTTGCAGAGGATATTATAATTTCAGTCAGAAGTTTGCAACGCAGTGAAGGAAATATTTCCGACCCTAGCAGAGTCGATCTAGCTATGTCCGTCTGTCAGTCTGTCAGTCTGTCCGTCTGTCCGTCCGTTTCTACGCAAACTAGTCTCTCAGTTTTAAAGCTATCTGCATGAAACTTTCCCAAAAGTTGTCTTTCTATTGCAGGTAGTATATAAGTCGGAATGAGCCGGATCGGACGACTAAAGCATATAGCTCCCATAGGAACAATCGAAAAAAAAAAATAAAAAAAAATTATAACTTTGCTGTTTTTTAATTTTTTTTTTAGTTCTTCGACATATAATAATGGTTTATTATTTCAGAATTACGGTTTAAATTTCATCAAAATCGGGCGACTATATCATATAGCTCCCATAGGAAAAAAAATGAAAAAACAAGAAAGGAAGCAAACTTCGGCAAGCCGAAGTTCATATACCCTTGCAGCAAGAATTTAATTATTTTTGAAAACATTAAAATTAAGATTTACTTGCATATATGTTTAAAAACATTAAAGCTATGATGATTTCCAGCTTAATTATTAGATGGTTATTTTATATATTTATATTATTTCTATGGGAGCTATATAGTATAGTCGTTCGATTTTGATGAAATTTAAACCGTAATTCTGAAATATTTAACCATTACTATATGTCGAAGAACTAATAAAAAAAATTAAAAAACAGCAAAGTTATAATTTGTATGTGTTTTTTTCCGATTTTTCCTATGGGAGCTATATGATATAGTCGTCCGATTTTGATGAAATTTAAACCGTAATTCAGAAATGTTTAACCATTACTATATGTCGAAAAAATAAAAAAAAAATTAAAAAAAAGCAAAGTCCAAATTTTTTTTTATTTTTTTTTTTTATTGTTCCTATGGGTGCTACATGCTATAGTCGTCTGATCCGGCTCATTCCGACTTACATACTACCTGCAAAAGAAAGACAACTTTTGGGAAAGTTTCATGCAGATAGCTTTAAAACTGAGAGACTAGTTTGCGTAGAAACGGACGGACAGACGGACAGACTGACAGACGGACATGGCTAGATCGACTCTGCTAGTGATGCTGATCAAGAATATATATACTTTATAGGGTCGGAAATGTCTCCTTCACTGCGTTGCAAACTTCTGACTGAAATTATAATACACTCTGCAAGGGTATACAAATTATAACTTAGCTGTTTTTTAATTTTTTTCTTAGTCCTTCGACATATAGTATTGGGTAATTATTTCAGAATTACGGTTTAAATTTCATCAAAATCGGACGACTATATCACATAGCTCCCATAGAAATAATAAAAATATATAAAATAACTATCTAATATTTGAGCTGCCAGTCATCATAGCTTCAATGTTTTCCAACATAAACGCAATTAAATCATAATTTTAATGTTTTCAAAAGTATTTAATTCTTGCAATAGCTGCAAGGGTATATGAACTTCGGCTTGCCGAAGTTTGCTTTCTTTTTTGTTTTAAGTTTGATTTAATTTAAAGGAAGGACTTAAAAACATATCTGTATTCAAGAAGTCAACTAGGACCACCAAATCTCGGCAATTCCTTTAAGTGTTTATAATTTAAGTCAGTTGTCCAATAGTGCAATTTTTCAAATGAACACGTTTGCCTTGAGAACCCCAAATCTGTTTTGTTGCGACCATGTAACCATGTTAACGTTTGTAATTCTTGCTGGGATACAATTGTAGAAAACCATAGTTTGAAAAAATGTTGATTTTGAAAAGGATGATTATATTATAAATGTAAGTTTGTGGACGTTAAAGTGGGTGTAGCTTTGGTTTGAAATAAACTTCAGCTGCGTAAGATGTATCTGCAATTCAAATCACAAATCACTTGCTTTTATAGTTTTCAAGATCTCGGCATTCACACAGACGGAAAGTCGTACAGACGGACATACTGACAGGCGGACATGGACTCGGCTTTCGATCCTGATCAAGGTTCGGAGATGCTTCCTTCTACCTGTTACATACTTTTCAACAATTACAATTACCGTTTTACTCCACGAGTAACAGATATAAAAATACCCCATCCCATATAAAATGGCTAACTTGTAATTATGTTGTTTAATAAAAATTGAAAATAATAAATTTTAAAAAAGTTTTTCCTTATCCGGGGATCATGGAAGTCCGAGTAAACCCACTTATATGCATTAATTTTAATTAATTTTTCTTGGTTTGCCAAAATTCAAAAGTAAACAAACCCAGATCAGCTGTTCGTGCCATTCACATGTCGGAGTAGCATTAGCTAAATGCTAATGCGCCAATGGAATCAGGCACATTTAAAAAGTACACTAATGCGGCATAGAATCAGGCTATTTAAACATTAAAATATATAAAAAAAAAACGATAAATCGATATTTTCAAATATCAAAATGATAATTTTTTTTAAAAGCATTTATCATCGATACGATTTTTAATAAATTTACAACCCTATTATACATCGAAAAAAATCCTTAAACGCGATATATTTATAAACGTTACGAAAATTTGCTCAATCCTATCTAGGTGATGTTGCCAGATCGACCCACATACTTCGCCGCTCGTTTAAAATGACGGTTGCAAAGCATTTTGGTCGATACCTCATTAGAGATTAACTTTAATCATAAAATCTGTATTTCAATTAGATCTACAACTTTTGTCTGAGTTTTTTTCATATATTGCAAGAAATTGCCAGAGCATAACAAAAATAACGGTTTTTACCGTTATTTTGAAAGCAATCGGTCTTGTCGCAAACTTTGACCTATTTATTCGTAATCAGGACCCAAGGATCATGGATCCTGAAAATTTGAAAATGATAGTGCGTTGGGGCTCGATGAGAGACAACACGACCAAATAACAAGTCACATGTTGAATAAAATAATAATGTACCTGTTACATTCAGTAATTAATTATCTTAAATTATCTTGCAGTCTACAAAAAAATAGCGGATCGCTATCAAAGTAACTACAAAGCTCAACCAATGTCTACATCACAGTGAAGTTTCGTCGGCAGTTTTGTACCCAAACGATAGTTGATGAGTTTGAGTATCGGCAAACTAAAATAACGTGTACTATCATGGTCGAGGTTTACTTCCTAAGGGGTGCAATGCGTGATGAAAAGCAACAACGTCGTTAACAACGTTGTGTTATGTTTAATGTATGTATACTGTTCAGCATAATATTAAACGCTACGTTCACTAAAATCGAGTCGAAAATAAGGGCAGAAACGCACCGAATAAGATTTTCAACGCTTATGGCGAGCGCCAAAACTTACTGAGCAGATTCACCAAAGACTAGGCAAGTCATATTGCGCAGCAACTATTCGCCTGCTGCTCCGTGATCACGACTTTAATGGTCGAGTAGCCATGAACAAACCCTTTATAAGCAAAAAGAATGAAGTTGCTCGACTAAACTTCGCTAAGGAACACATTTGTAATTCATCTGACTACTGGAATACTTAATACTAGAATCCCAAATACCGAGCTTCAAAAGGAGAACCTTAAGCCCACCGTTAAACATGGAGATGGAAGCGTCATGGTTTGGGCCTGTATGTCGGCAGCCGGAGTGTGGAATTTGGTGTTTATCGAGGGCATAATGGACAAAAACATGTACCTTGATATACTATAGAAAAATTTGCTTCAGTTTGCTGTGAAGCTTCAAATCCGTGATTGTTTTAGGTACTACCAGGATAATGGATAATGACCCCAAGCACAAAGCCTCAATTGTGCAGCATGGCTGATATATAATTGTCATCATATGGAGACGCCGCCGGCACAGCCACCAGATATGAATGTTATAAAGAATTTGTGGGCTTTACTGGAAAATAGCATACGGAAACCCAATATTATCTGCAAGGAACATCTATGAATGGCCCTTTTGGTCTAAAATAGGACCAGAAACGACCCAAAAACAGGTGGATTCAATGCCATCACGCCTGAATGTCGTCATTAAAGCCAAAAGCTATCATACAAAGTACTGAAAATATTTTGAAGACTTTTATGTTAATTATTTAAGACTAAATGTAAGGTGCATCATTTAAGCTGTGGCCTAATAAAATTGGAAAATGTTTGTTTTTTGTTATATTAACCCATTGACTTCTTCGTATGAAATAAACGATTTTCCTTTATTACATTAAATATATAAATCTATTATATGCCTTTAATATTTTTAAGATAGCTCTTTGCGTTTTAAGAGTTACAGCCGAATATATTTTAAAATGGGCTCTGCATCAAATAGGCTGTGAGCCGCTGTAGTTACGATAACCAACGGTAAAAATGACTTCAAGTTGATCTTCAATCTAAATGTGCTTAATTTTTATAATAATAAGTTTCAACTTTTTCATTTATTTTGTAGTATTCTGATTGTTTCCATCGTCGTCTGATTTCAATAAAATTTAAATAGTTACTGTGCGTCTAAGAACAAAAGTAAAATATGAAAAAACAGCAGTTATAATTTGCGCTACCTTTTTTTTTGGGAACTAAATGAGATGGTCGTCCAATCTGGCTGGTTCCGACTTATATACTACCTGCAACAGAAAGATAACTTTTGCAAAGTTCTATGCAGATAGCTTTTAATCTGAGAGACTATTTAGTGTAGAAACGGTCGGCAGGACGGACGGATGGATTAACTCAAAAATATCTATACTTTTTAGGGTCGGAAATGTCAGCTTCACTGACTGCAATTATAATACCCTCTGAAAGGGTATAACAATTCAATCTATACAATATAATACAATATCAGTCTATAAACTTTGTTAAGCCCGCTCCTTCCTATTCCGTTAAATGTCGTCTTTATACATACATCGTTCTTCGGCTTTCGTATCGCTGAACTGTGTTCACAAATTTAAAGCCGATCTATAATACTTTATTGCAGTTTTAATAATACAAATGTTTAGTTAATAGTTATTTAAGTAGCCAGCTTTGGTTAAATCTGTTGACGAAATAAAAATGTAAATAAATAAATAAATTGTTACAAAATCAATTGCATTAAATTGTTGCGTTTATAAACGCTTTAGTTCGAAAACATACTTTTGTACGTATGTTTCCCATTGAAAAACCGATTTTAAACCCAAAATGTTTTTTTTTTATTTAAAATAATTTACTTACATTGTGTTTTGTTGTTTTTATTAAGCACTGCTTCGAAGTCCGAAATATTCCTGCACAGACCTGTATTTAAAAAAAATTTAATTTGTACTCTACAAAATACTGAAAAATTTGTCGACTTACGCTCTTTCTTATATGTAAATAAAGTCGTTTATTATTAATAATGTCAATAGTCCTTGTTTAATAGAATGATTTTTAAATTTATTATGATGTAAATACTTGAAAATTTTTTGTTTTAGTAAATAAAATTCGACAGATTGAGTTCAATTATTTTAAACATTTTTTTTTTATATTTTACCTTCAGTATAACAAAAGTGGTTTAAAAGAAAACATTTATGACAAACATTCCTTGTGTGGCCAAAGAAGGTGAAATAAAAAACTCCAACATCCTCACAAAAACCGTAATAGCCTATTCACATTACAGTACTTATGGGAGGAACGATGAGAAGACGGTGCAAAAGTGAAACTCCAATTCACACTGCCAGTCTACCGTCAAGCCTTCTTATAGCCTGATTCCATTGCCGCATTAGTGGGCTTTTTAAATGTGCCTGATTCCATTGGCGCATTAGCATTTAGCTAATGCTACTCCCGCATGTGAGTGGCACGAACAGCTGATCTGGGTTTGTTTGCTTTTAAATTGTCGCAAATCAAAAAGCGATGAATTAAAAATCATGAATATAATCAAGTTTACGGATATCTTTAGTGCTCAGCAGGTCATCCACAATGATATCGAGGCATTTGCCAACTTGGGCGACAAGAAAGGGAAGCTGATGGTGGTGATAGCAAGGATCGCCGTATATGTGAGGGTTTTTTCCTGCCAGAGATGCAGCAGTAATGCATTGTGGACCTGTGACCAGGATTAGCTACGCTAGTTCTTGTTTTCAGTAATTTGTCGCAAAATAAGTTTTTATATCCAAAAGAAAACAAAAATTGCTCCAGCCTTACATATAAAAACCAGATGTTGTATTGGTAGCACTAACGAAATATCGGTTAATAATAGTATTATACGGTATTTTTCTAAAAATGTTCGGGACGAATGATTTATAATCATATTAATCTTTTGCACTTATTTAAATGCGTCATTTAGACTTATGGAAAGCCCTGTGTAATAAATAAATTCGCATTAGGCGAATGCGTTTTGAATGAGCCAATGGAATCCGGCTATTATTTAATTTTTTAGAAGTTAAAAAAAGTTATGGGTCTTATTTTATTTATTGCAACAAATTGAAAACAAATTCACCTGCTAAAAGCTGGAAATAATTAAAATAATTACAATAATCAATATGAATAATTATTATATGTCTTAAAACAGCGTGTGGCTGCTATACCCTGCCCCTCCATAGGTTCCGTATGCCGATGGATCGCTGCCGGCCACTGCAATGCGATCTTCTATTCTCAATGTCGTCAGTCAAAAGCTACGTCATTGTTCTAGACCAGAGATTTTCCATTTGCTCCAGCTCCCCCTTTTATGGACGTTTACCAAGACATTATTGACTTCTGCTTCACATTATAATTATACATAACATTATTAATAAATGTTTGTATTAATTTATATAAAAAAAAAATAATTTTAATTGATATTTCTTAGAATTGAGCAATGTTGGTAATTTTCCACAAACAGAAAAATAAGTATTCGCTTTATTGCGAAACGAATTGCGAGGAAGAGATGAGTGGAAACGGCACTGGCGATGATTGACGGTAGCGCTTCTAGCAGTGGTTTCTCCTGGGGGTTCCAATTACATATAAAAACTTTGGTCATTTGTATTGCTTGTATTTAATTGTTCATTTATTATTGTTGGGTATTGTTGATTGTTCTGACGAGTCTTATATTGACGAAATTTAAATAATTAGTTATGAAGTATTAGTTAGTTATGGACGGGTTGATATTTTAGTGTTGGCACCTTTCTGGCCAATTGGTAGTGACAGCAACGATTTTCTCGAGTTCGTGTCCGTGGTCCCGATGAATCTGCACAGATCGCTTATACATCCGGAGGAAATTCAGAATCATTATAAGGATCAAGAGTCCAGTAATGAGGCACAAAAAATTGTAGACTTTAGTGATGTCCTCCTTGTGGTCTACAATTTCGACATTGTTTATCACGTTTGCCGTATTGTCGGATGCCTTCGAGGTTGTAGATCCCATGATATATAAATAGTTTGTTTTTGTCGGGTTCCAAATTAAATCATTTGGTTAGGTCCTCCGCGTATACTGTTTTCACCGGTAGTGGACCAACGCGGTTCCGCGGTCGTTTCTGTTTATGTTTCGACTCCCGATTTTCAATTATCTTGGACTGTGATTGCTCGATCCTAAGGTGAGGGGACCTTTTATACCGGTGGTATTGCTTCCGGGCCATCTAAGTGTTCCCACAGCATTCACCGTTTTCTGGCTTAATGGCCTACTTCTGGATTCTGCTAAGTTTCGTAATAATTGCTGCTCACACCCATTGTCTGCTGTATGTTCTTGTGAATTCCTTACTCTGACCAATTCGTTGCTGGTTACTGTATTGGCCAATTTCGGTGTTTCGCCACCTGCCCTTCAAAGTGTCTTCTTCATTTTCTTCTTCTGTCTCTTGTTATTTTATTTTTTGTTTGTTTTGTTCCTTACCCCGCCTTAGGCCGCTCCTGAACACGCTCGAGGATCGTCGATGGTGATTAAGCAAGGAATGCACTCGCAAAAAAACTACGAGGAGCGATTGTAATTTTGTTGTTATTGCCCTAAAGTGTGGCCTCGACCCATACCCTGGGATTTAGGAGTCTCACGCTCTATTGTCTGAGATAGCCGGGCTATTGTTATCATTAATTTGCCCTCAGAATAAAGAAAAAAGTCTGGTGAAACGTATGTTTTTTTTTTTATTTGATTTTTTTTTTTTTTTTTTTTTTACTTATGCATTTTATTTATTGAATCTTCTCTGAATTGAGACTAACAATAAGTATATAAAATCTTAAATTAAAAAGCTATATCTGACAGTCAAGTTGACTGACGCGGGATGTAAGGGCTCTAATAACTATTGCTGAGCTGGAAGGTCATTTCGTTGCAATCGGGTCCGGTTGGCAACCCTGGCTAGGCCCCTGGCGAGCTGGTTTGGATGAGAAGTTAGCTTGGTGTGGTAGGACGCCTTTTGTTTTGAAATTTCATCTTTTACGGGTAGAATGCCCAGATCTCTGTGGATGTTGTCGTTCCGAACATACCAAGGTGCCCCAGTGATAGTTCTCAGGATTTTTGATTGTGCTCGCTGGATAATGTCGATGTTACTGCTGCTCGCGTTTCCCCACAATTGGGAGCCGTAAGTCCAGACTGACTTAAGCGTTGAATTGTAGAGCAGAACCTTGAAGTCCAGGCAGAGGGGGGAGCGAGCGTTTATGAGCCAATGGAGGTTATTGGATTTTAATTTAGATGAATTTTCTTAGCTTCGATATGTCTCCGCCATGTAAGTCTTCTGTCAAGGTGGACGCCAAGGTACGTTACATCGTCAGCTTGTGGAAGTGGCGTGTTATTCAGAGTTAGCGGGGGACACGTTTGTCTGTTAAGAGTAAACGTTATGTGTTTACACTTTTGCGCATTTATTTTTATACGCCAGTCTGATAACCACCTCTCCACTACAACGAGATGATCAGCTAGTTGTGCTGTTGCCTGAATTGGGCATTTGGACCGACTTAAAAACGCGGTATCGTCTGCGAATGTAGAAGTAGTTAGCCGCTCGTTCGTGGGAATATCTGCGGTGTAAAGGAGAAATAGAGTTGGACCAAGGGCGCTATCTTGAGGAACTCCAGCCTCTATCGTGTCATCGCCGGATATTGTAGTGTTGCATCTCACGGCGAAGGCTCTGTTGTAAAGGTACGATTTAAGTATCCTGTGAGTGTTTTCCGGTAGTAACGTTCTGATTTTATGCATAAGGCCATCGAGCCAGACTCGGTCGAAAGCCTGCGCAACGTCAAGGAATGCCGCACTGCAGTATTCCCGAGAGTCGAATGCAGTTCGTATTTCTGTTGTTAATCTGTTAACTTGCTCTATTGTTCCATGGCTTTCTCGAAAGCCAAATTGATGCGCCGGAATAATGTTGTGCTCTTCCAGATATGGGATTATGCGTGTCAAAAGGCATTTTTCGAACAGTTTTGACAGACACGAGCGTAAACTTATCGGTCTATATGAGGCAGGTATTGTGTGATCTTTTCCTGGCTTTGGGATCATTATGGTTACCGACTTTTTCCATTTTTTTGGGAAGTAGCCAAGTCGTGTAATCCCGTTAAATAGTTTACAAATTACCTCAACTGCACAGTTTGGGAGTTCAATTAACATCTTAGGAGTTATTAGATCACCACCTGGGGCCTTTTTTGTTTTTAATCGCTCGCTGATGACTTTTGCAACTTCGTTTGTTTGGAACAGAATAGGCGCCGTCTCAGTTCCACCTCGAATTGGCGGCGACGGTAGTGTGAATGAATTATTTGCAGGGTTTGGCTGAAAAACATTTCGAAGGTGTAAAGCAAATGTACAGGCTCTGTCTTTGTCGCTTCTGGCCCAGCTGCCTGAAGAGTCTCTTACGGGAATTACTGTTTCGGCCGGCGCATTTAGATTTGGGTGGGCCCTCCACAGGGGATGCTTGGTGCTGGTGGGTGAAAGTTTCTCAATGTACTGGCGTTGTGCTTTTTCTTCTTCGTGCCTTAGAGCCCTGGTAAGTCTGCGACCAGCTTCCTTAAGACTATGCTTTGAGGATGGCGATCTGCTGGTTTGCTAAGCACGCCTCAAACGTCTTTTCTCCAAAACAAGCTGTTCGATTTCAAGGTTAGTTTTGTGTTGGTGTGTGTGCCCATCCCTCCCTTGCGGTGTAGAGACTTTGGCTGCTGCGACGAGTACAGACTCCAGTGCATTGGCATAGCAGTCGATGTCCTCCTTGGAGTTGAGCTGTGGAGTTAGTTCGATGTGGGAACTTACTTACTTTTTGAACTTTTATTTGAATAAATATTAAAAATTTTCCTTTTTTTGTATTGATAAACGCCGTCTTGCCGGGGTCGGCCAGTTGTCGTCTTCATCTTCTTTATAATCACGGTAGTATGGAGGGCTCATATTCTTTTTCCGATTTATTTATGATCTCGTTAACGTGCCGCGGTCGTTTCGACACGTGTTCTTTCTCTCTTAAGCTTGACTAGTGTAGATATGCCTGACGTCAACAAAAAAGCTCCCATTTGAGAATTTAGGTTCTTCTTCAATATCTCCACAAGGTTGGATTCTGAAATCTTATTTCTTAGTTAAAACTGCAAATTGTGCATTGCTCCAAA